CCCCCTCCTCTCCCTCCTCTCGCCTTTTCTATCTGCTCCTCTTACACAACCTACTCAGATATGGCATCATTCTAGCTTCTTAGCAATGAATACACTGTTTCGGATAAAGTTTCTTGCACTCTGATATTATATAACACAGCTGAGAAATTTCTACGCTTACCTCAGAAAATTCAAGTAACCCTCTAGTGCACAATTTTACCTAAATTATGCATGGTTTTAAGCAAAAATTTATAATTCTTCGGCTTAATTTTATGTTTCGAATTCAATTTTCACATTTCCCTTTTCATAAGGCTTATTTAGTCATGCTCTTAAAAGAAAAATCCCCTCTCCACTGTCCTGCATTGGAAAAAGTTTAAAAATCGCACCTTCCCAAGCATCATCATGCTTTTGCCTTGCTTCTCTTTCCTTCTCAGTTTTCTCGTTCTTCAGCGCCTCGGCTTCCGCTCGGATTTTTTCCACTTCTTCCTTCTCCTCTTTCAATTTTTCCATGGTTTCTAGTTTTTCGGATTTCAGCTGCTGTCCGATTTTTGCTAGCTCCAATCGCTTAATGTGACCCTAAAAATGAACAAATTTACCAGCAATCTGACAAGCACGACTGATTTTTACGAAATAACAAATTTGGCCTTCGTGACGCACTTCTTTTTGTTACTATAGTTGGTACATCTTGAATCGCAGCAGTGAGATATGAAGTCAAAAAGCTCAAAATACAGGATAAAACATATATGCACTTCGTCTGTGGCTACCTCTCCAGCATCAGAAACACTGACAGTCCCGTCAACCACTGCGATCTTTTACAATCGGAATATCAGTCAGATAAATAAAATTGCTAGGACGATCTACCTTCTTCGCTAATTCGTATCTCAGACGCAGTTCTTCGCGATGCTTCGAGCCCAGTTCGTTGCACACATTTGGGCAATCCACCGCCGAATCCCATTCATCGCTTCCGTCACAACAGTCTAAACAATTTAACGCTAGCAACTGGGCCAAACGAGAAACTGCCCCAGCGTTCGTCAGTGCATACAGGTTCATTTTGTCTGTGCCATTATTTTGGCGCATGCTCATTTGTGCATCTGTGTATTTCTTCTGCTATTTTCTTCCCGTTTCTGTATTTTCTTTTTGATTCGTAACAAGCTAAAAATTGAAGTTTCGGCTCCGCCACTACGATAACCAGTCCCCTCACAGTTCGTTCATTCGTCTCGATGGCAAACTGGTATTGAAACATTTAAATAATTGGCAAACGCACGGGCTGCCCGTGCAACGATGCGTTTTTTGCACAGTTCTCCACAGTTTTTGTTGCTACCGGCACCGGCTTTTTTGGCAAATGCTTCTAGCTAAAGAAATTAAGACTGGCCCCCAGAGCTGTCAGGAAACACCCCCTTAAAATTTTAGCTTTCTAGCTTCCCTGGCTCCTGAGTTAACAACTTACTGGAAAAAAATTTTCACGGGCCCGTGCGTGTTTACCACGCAAACCCGAGAGTTGGGTTTCAGCTGAATGAAACTTGGGTGGACGGGGTATATTCTTTTAAAATTACAGTCCCCTAGCTTCTCAGATCCCCGCGTTATGAACTTATCCGAAAAAAATTTTGGCGGGCTCGAACGCGGGTACCACGCTCACCCGGGGTCCAGGTTTGAGCTCTTAATACCCACTTCAACGTGAACATCCCCCTAAGATCTCAGCTTTTTAACTTCTCAGATCCTCGAGTTATGAACTTGCCCGAAAAAAATTTTGGCGGGCTCGTATGCGGGTACCACGCTTACCCGAGAGTTGCGTTTGAGCTCACTAATACCCACTGGAACGGGGACACCACTCTAAAATTCCAGCTTTCTAGTTTCTCAGATCCCCGAGTTACGAACTTACCCGTGAAAAACTTTGGCGAGTCCGCATGAGGTTACCACGCGGGTAATGGCGCCCATTTTTGGGATTGGGGCTCGTACGTGCATGTAGATTAAGTTCCCAAAGTTTCAGCCCTGTAGCTTTTGTGGGTTTTGAGATGAAAAACCGTAACAGATGCAAACACAGACACACACACAGACAACCCCTCGTCAATATGCGTTTTCTGCACTGCATAGTTGCAAAAAACTCATAAAAAACTGCCGCTAGTTTCTTTTAAGCAATCCTCAGAAAAACGAAAACCATCGATAAAGTGGTTGCTGCTAGCACATGCTACCACTGGAGCCGAGCACTCAGATCTCTCAAAAACAGTTATATTGCACTAT